GGATCGGCTCAGCTCCAGCCATTGTAGCCACTCCCTGTAAATCTGACTTTCCAAAAAAACAATATAAATAAATCTTAAAAAAATTTTTTTAGATGGTCACCTACTTAACAGCTACATAAATTAGGCACAATACTAAGCTCTGTGAGACAAGAATTTACCAGGATAGCAAATGTTCCTTATAACATATATTTGACTCTATGGGTTAAAGTAAACTAAATGTGAGTACATCTACATAAAATTAAGAGGACAAAGTTTTATTTAAATGTACATGCCCTTTAATTCAGCAATTTCTGGTCTGACTTTTAAGACTTTATACCACAGATGGGCCCAGCGCGATGGCGCAGTGGTTAAGGTCCTCTCCACCTTGCACGCCCAGGATCCCATATGGGCGCCGGTTCTAGTCCTGGCAGCCCCACTTCCCATCCAGCTCCCTGGTTGTGGCCTGGGAAAGTGGTCAAGGACGGCCCAAAGCCTTGGGACCCTGCACCCACGTGGGAGACCTGGAAGAGGCTCCTGGCTTTGGACCGGCATAGCATTGGCCATTGTGCTCACTTGGGGAGTGAATCATCAGACGGAAGATCTTCCTCTCTGTCTCTCCTCTCTGTATATCCGCCTTTCCAATAAAAATAAAATAGATCTTTAAAAAAAAAAAACAAAAACAGATCATACGTGTGAGACCAGGTAACAGGCTGTGACGTCCCACCCCCTTTGTCTTGGGAGTTGGATGGCTTAAATTCAACTGTCCACTGTAACATTTCCTAATTCTTCCTAACAGACAACTTCCCTAATCCCCTAAGCTTCTGTTTCCTCATGTTAGGGGCAGGTCATTACAGAGTCTACCTCGGGGTATTATTCTAACAAGATCTGACAGGCATCAAGTGCTCTCAAAGTCAGTATGGCTTTGCCTTCCATAAAGCAATGCCAGCCATGGCCATGGCCAGGGCAGCTGAAGACAGGAGCCAGGGGGTCTAGGTCTCCCCAACGGGTTGGAAGTACAGCAGCCAGGACTTCATCGACAGGCTCTCAGCTAGGGATGCCAGCCCAGTGTGCCACACCACAACGTCCGCTACCACTTTCTACGCTGGAGCAGTCAGGAACTGACGCCTCTCTGTGTTAAACAGGCATCGATTCTCTACCAAAACCTGACGAGTATGTAAAGTTTTCATAGTTTCTGACATTACATGCTGTTTTCCTGCAAACAGGGAATGATTTTGTCTGTTCGGTAAATGTAGACCGCTCTGTCCTCCTGCAGTAGACTCACGTTCGTGACTGTTACGGATCGCACAGTCATTTGACCCTAGTGTTATGCAGACAGCGGAAGGGTTAGGGTGGTCAGCTGGTCTAATTATGGTGTGGGAGAAGCAGGCCTGTTCAGAAGTCTTCAGTTCACTGAAGGTTCAGAAGACCTCAGTTGGAAACGAGTCAAGTTAACCATTTGCAAATGACATGATCCTTCACATGGGGGGAATCAGCTTTCCACCAACAGACTAAAAGGAACTCAGTTAAAAAAATGGGAGAGGGAGTGAGGGCGGGAGGAAGGCAGAGTAAGGAGGAGATTATCATTATGTTCTCAGAACGGTATTATGAAATATACAAAACCTGTATTAACAAAAGCACAGAAGAGACAGGCAAAGAACAGGAACAGACATTTTGCAAATGATGAAATACAAATGGCCAACAGACACCTAAGAAAAGGCTCAGGGTCACCAGCCATCAGGGAAATGCAAATAAAAACCCACAAAGAGGTTTCATATCACCCATGTTAGAATGGGCTCTCATCCACAAAATAACAAATAATCAAAAAATAACAGATGCTGGCAAGGATGTGGAGAAAAGTGGTGGAAATGCAAGCTGGTACAACCATTATGAAAGATAGTACGGAGATTCCTCAGAAAAGTGAAACTAGATTTACCGTATGGTCCAGCTGTCCTGATCCTGGGAAGACATGGAATGCACCCCAAAGTAATGAAATCAGCATATGAAAGAGTGGTCTGCACCCCCACATTTAGAGTAGCCCAATTAACAATAGTTAGAACATGAATCAACCAAGATGCCCATCAACTCATGACTAAACATACATGACGGAATAATACTCAATCGTAAAAATTGACTTTTGTAACAAAAACGGATGCAACTGGAGATTATGTCTAATCAAATCAGCCAGACTCACAAAGACAAATATCACATATTTTCTCTAACTTGGGGTGGCTAATATACAGAGTATGAAAAATTAACGTATAAGGGAAACTGGCAACTTGGGATTTGATTGTAACTTGTAACCCTTGTCTATATTCCTTGAACAACGGTCTTTATATCCATATCTTCACTAAATGGTGGAGCATTAAACCTCTGACTATAAAATCAATTAAAAATATTATTGTGGGGGGGGGGGTTGGCATTGTGATGAAGTAAGAAGCCCTCTACCTTCGACACTGGCATCCCACAAGCGTGTGTGAGTTCAAGTCCTGGCTGCTCCACTTTGGATCCTGCTAAGTACCCTGATAAGGTACTTTGGAAAGCAGTAGCAGATGATCCAATGTTTGAGGCCCTGCACTCATGTGAGAGACCCAGAAGAGGCTCAGGGCTTCTGGCTTCAGGCTGCTCCGGCCACTGCAGCCACTTAGGGAATAAACCTGCAAACGGAAGGTCTAGTTTCTCCCTCCCACTTTCTGCAGCCTTTACATTTTTTAAAAGTGTTATCACAAAAAATTTTTAAAAAAAAGAAAGGAAGGGGGAAAAAGGGAGGTAAATATCATTATATTCTTAGAATTCTGTCTATGAAATATGATCTCTCTATAGTAAATAAAAATGTTAATTAAAAAAAAAAAACGAAACTGGGTCCTAAAAATAAAGATAATTCTCACCAGGGGGTTGGTTTTCCTGGTCTTTTTCTTTACTTCTGAATCACTGTGTGATTGTGTCTTTGCACAGGTTCAGCACTCCCAACTTCGGCCAGATGCCAGGCTAGTGGGTCCATCCCATCCTCAACAGTGACCCTCCAACAAAGTGTATGCCCAAAGAAACCCCCCCTCACTGGCTCGGGGACTTCTGAAAGGAATCTAGAGTTACCTGATACGGTCACCACCCCCATCACTCAATTTTCCACATATACCCGTCCTGTGCAGCATGGCAGGACAACATGTTCCTGGTATTGCATCCCACGTTCCTCTACTCATTTTTAGTCAATTTCCTGTTTCACTTCCCCTACCACTAACTTGAGCAGCACAGTTCCTCCCAGTTACACCGAACGGCAGAGCCAGCTTGTCACCTGTCCTAACAGACTTGGTAGCAGTGAAGCAGTCTGCTCGGAGACTCGCACCGATGGGGGATCCAAGGAGTAAACGACAGGGCAATGAATCACTCAAGTCTTCAACTCCTCTTTGCCTCTGACCATCCTTTAATGTTGTATTAGTCAAAATGAAAACCCTATTACTGTTTTTTCCAGAAAGGAAGGCTGTTAGTCAAAACGTAATTTTCCACCGACCTTATGACTCATCCCTTCAGTTGAGACAAACGCATACAGATGTGTACCAAAATGTTAATCTCCAAAATCCATATTTAAAAAAAAAAGTTATTGGGGAGAGGTTGGGGCTGGAGGGATGGGAAGAGAGAACCTTCCCATGAGCCAGTTCTCTCCCCAAATGTCCCAACAGAGCCAAAGCTGGAAGCTGGGAACTTCGTTCTGGCCCTCCCTGTGTGTGTCAGGGACCCATAGAAACGAACATCAACAACAACAACAACAACAACAACAGACCCAGTTACATAACAAACAGCAGAATGTTACACATAAGTAAAAAATACAGTCCTCCAACGGCCTCCCATGACACGCCGAAATGACAGCACATCATGAAATATCACGGCTGGCTTCCACAAGCAACACGCGGACTACGATCCCATGAACAACGAAGCTCAAACTGACAAAGCTAACAGCTGACGGGAGACTAGGGCGCAGTGCCATTGCTGTGATGGAAGCGCAGAGTAACTGGGGATGGTGGACTATTCTAGGTGGAGGTAACAAGCAAAAAAAAAAAATCCCTTGCATAATGTGCACCTGTTATTATTACATGCAGTTTATACCTCAACAACAACAAAAGAAAATATGTAGTTTCCAAACTGCCTGGTAGTACCACTGCTGATTTAGGTCAACGGTCATGTTAGCCAGGAATTCTGAGGCAAACACGATGGATACCCAACAATCTTTTCTGGCTTTTTTTTTTTTAAATCAAATGACAACTCTGTAATCCCTCTGAAGCACCCCCACGCCCAAAACGCAGGTTCTCAGTCACCACGCACTTGCCTTCTCACTTCCAAGGGGGACTGCACGATTTTCAGGCAGTGGAAGCAACGCTCCTTCCACCACTGCAACCATCCAATGTCACGACACCGTCACGACAGTGAACCGTCACGACACGGCAGGCACGGATCTCAACGTTTACATGCGCATCCATAGATATAAATGCCTCCAAATCAACTTTCCGCTAACGCCACGTTTCCAAGAGCATTTTTGGAAGCAGCCTTGTCTACCGCAAGGGCAGACCAGGAAAACGCTCCCACATCGGACCAGCCAAGGGCTTGCAAAGAAAAGCTTCGGATCGCGCAACTGCCGGGGCTCGGCAACACCCCGATCTTCAAGGTGAGGCCCCCATCCCGACCCTCGACACACCCACACCCCAGCGAACACCACGCGGCCAGCACCTCCAGGCGCGGCCCCTCCGGTGGTGGCTGTCGGTTGTCAGAGTAACGCAGGGAAAAGCTAACAGCCTCCAAAAAGTTTATCCACTGAGAGGCGCAGTTGATAGGTACCTTTTTTTTTTTTTTTTTTTGGAAAGATGATTTAGAAAGCACCGACACGCAACGCCACGCAGCGGCCCCGGGCAGCCAGCAAGGGCCGCGCACACGGGAGGACTCTCTCCTCCAGGTCCCCGCGGGGCTCGTCCGAGGTGACCCCGGCCAGCGGCTGCCCCGCGCCCCCTGGACCTCCCAGCTCGGCGCGTACTCACCGCGCTCGCCGGCTCCGCGCACGCCCCGGGGCCGTCCAGCCGTGGGCACCCGCGGGCAGGGCCCGGCGCCTCGGGGCCGCCCCGGCCACCCCGGCCAACCCCGGCCGCTTCCTGCCACCCCGGCCGCCCGGGTCGCCTCAGCCGCCTCCGCGCCCCCGGGCGCGCCGCGGCGCGAGAACGGCCACTTCCGGCGCGCGCGAGGAAATGAGGCGACCGCCGCCCGGCCCCGCCCACCTCGCTCGCGTTGCCCGGGCAGCACCGGCCGCGGCTTCTTAGTATTGATTAATATCAGAAATATGTGAGTGCTCTTCCCCAAATCCACAGGAGGCGGCTTCGGCCTGAACCGGCGCCCGGCTCTCCGGGTCCCCACGCCCCGTGAGGTGGCCGCGCCCTGTCCCGGGAGCGCACCAGGCGCCCTGAGAGCTCGCGTGGGCGCCGGCTGGCTGAGGTGGCAGTCTCTGCTGTTTCCTGGGATGGCTTCCTCCCCTCACCCACTTGGTCCAGGACCTCCACGAGGCTCCTGGTCCCACGCCCGAGCTGCCCCAGGCCCTGCTGGGAGGTCACCTTCGTTCCTGCCTCCACTTGCTTTCCCCACGGTTGCCTCCCCAAGCAGCTGTGTCTTGGGGACCACCGCGACGTGCCTTCTGCAGTCGTGGGAATTAGATGCGATGTCGCATTTGGCAGTGTCTGGCACTGTGGATCAGCCTTGGAACTAAATGCGGTTAGAACCCAAAGTCCTGGGGGACGGTAGGAAAACATCGAATGAAAAGTTACTTGGGGAGAGAAAGAATTTGATGCCCATCCCAGCTGTCATCGTTGATTGGGCTCAAAGTCTGGACAGCCTACTTAAAATGTGTTGCTCGTATTGCAATTTATTCGAAAGGCGGAGAGAGAAGTGATAGTTCCTTTGACTCATCACTCCCCGCCCCACGCAACTGCCCACCATGGCCAGGGACTGGCAGCCAGGAGCCAGGACCTCATTCTGGCAAGGACCCAAGTGCTTGCATTGGCAGGAAGCCGCATCAGAAGTGGAGAGGCCCTCTGCAGGGGCGCCCAAGCAGTATTTTAACTGCTTTGCATGGCTTATCCTCAGGCAACCTGTTTCTAAGCCAGGTCTCCTCCCAGTTCAAAGCTTCTGCCTTCTTCGCCTTCCGCCCTGCTCGGTCTTTTCTGGAGCAACTAGAAACATTTTTAGTTTCGCTACTGATTTCTCCCAACCTGGCCCAGGAGATGATTCAAGTGACACTGCTCCCATCTGGAAATTGAGCTCTGGAAGATAAGGAATTGGCACATAGTAAGTGTTCCGTTAAGTATGAACTGATGTAATTGGAAAAGGAGCATGCAAGGGATTTCCTGGCACCTGGCAGCTCTGCCACTTCCCGACGACATGGTATCGCCTTGCATTGTGGCTGGCTAGCATGAAGAGCAGGCTGTGTGAGTCTACGTAAGGTAAGCTGAACGTCTTCAGGTTCTGGTGTCTGAAGCTTTTGCGATGGCTATCCTGCAGGCCCCAGGACCAGCCATGGGGTGACAGTAGGCCATGGGGTGACAGTAGGCATGGGGTGACAGTAGGCCATGGGGTGCCATGCTGCCCCTGGAGAGGGAGATGTACAGAAGGAACCCAGAGGACCAAGCATGGTTCTTCAAGGTGTTGTTACAGTGGAACTCCAAAACGTTGGGCAAAAGTGGATTTAAAAGAGAAGTTTATATCACTGCAAAAACAATTCTGAAGTCATCACGTAGTTTTTCATAAAACACATTATCAGGAACTTTTAAGAATGTGTATTTTTCATTTACTTGAAAGAGCAAGAGAGCAAGTTTCCATCTGCTGTTTTTCTCCCCGCAGCAGTCAAGGCTGGCCATCAAGCCAAGGACAGGAGTCAGGGCTTCATCCTGGTCCCCCACGTGGGTGGCAGGAACCCAAGGACCTGAGTGTCCTCTATCCCGGGAAGCTGGATCAGAAGCAGAGCAGCTGCAGCCTGTGACACTGGCATCCCACATCAAGTGCCAGTTCAGATCCTTGGAACATCTGGCTCCCTGCTATGTGCCTGGGAAGGCGGAAGAAGAAGATGGGCCCCTGCTAGCCTCGTGGGAGACCTGGATGGAGAACCTGGCTGCTGGCTTTGGTCTGGCCCGGCCTGAAGCGTTGTGGCTGTTTGGCCACTAAACCAGTAGGTAAGACTCTCTCTGTCTCTCCCTCTCACTCAGCCTTTCAAATAAGCAGAATAAATCTTTTTTTTATCTTCTTATTTTTGATGATGTTTACATAGTTGATCAGGGTGGGGAGGGTTGAGGATCAGGGGATAGTGGGTGAGACTAATGTTTACACATTTTCTTTTTCTCCCTCTTGTATATGGGCGACTGGGGGATACAAGAGGAGAAACCATGCCCAGCCTGTCAACCGCTGCATTCCCAGGGGATGGGGAACTGTCACCTGCTGTCATCCCACGGTCCCCATTGTGGAGCATTTATTAATTATTTTTATTTTTGATGATTTTTACAGTTGATTACGGTGGATTAGAGTCAAGGGCTGTAGGAAGGTGGGTGAGATCACCATTTCCATATTCTCTTTTTCCCTTCCTGTATTGGGGCGGGGGGAGACAAGGCGAGAAGCCACACCCAGCCTCCCAAACACCTCCGCACCCTGGGATGGAAGACAGCCATCCAGTATCACTCACTCCCTGATGTGGGGCATGCTCTGAGGGTCTTGCTCATGAGGTTTTTTGTTTTTGTTTTTGTTTTTGTTTTTCAATTTTAAAAATTATATTTTTGACAAACTTTACATGTTAATTGGGGTAAAAAGGTTGAAGGGCTATAGGAAAGTAGTAAGAGTATTATTTTCATATTGTTTCCTTCAAGTTTAAAGGGGGGGTATTAAGGGAGAAGGCCCACCCAATTTCCCACCCTCCTCAGGTCCCGCATGTAGGGTATGCTCCGAGGTTCTTGCTCAACTGGTTTTGATGGTTCACCAGTTATAAATCACTGTCAATCTTGCCACCCCAAGCACTATGAGGTCTTTGAAGAATCCACCAGTTGACATAGTCCATCATAGAGTCTCCGTTTGCCCAGTATTTCGCTGCCAACCTATAGCTGAGATGGTTGGTTGACCTGTTCTGTCTTCTCTCTTTTCTTGGTTAGGGTTCTGAGTCCAGCATTTCGATTGGGGAAATCTCCAAAGAAATTTTGAGTGTTCTCAGACCAGATTCTTGTATGTACTAGCAGGTACAGGGCCCGGCTCAGTCCATGGCCCTGATCAGCTGGTGGTTGCAATCACTGGGTTGATTCTGTTTTCAGCCCTGACTTCCACTGGAACCAATGGGTGTCGTAGTCCGGCCTGGTTCTGCCCAGCACATTCTTGGCCCTTGCATAAACCAGTGGAGCTGCAGCCTAGTTGGAGCGACCCGCAATATCCCCCAACAGGCCTGCCCCCTACCCTGGTTTCCCAGTATGTGTAGCAGTAGTCCAATCTGTCCCACACCCCATTCCTCCCTGCCCATCCTGGTTTTTGTGCCCTCCTGTAGAAGTGGTAACCCAAGAGGGAGGAGCCCTCTATTTCCCTCCCAGGCCACTCCCACTCCCGGATTATGCACTCTCCAGGTAGTTCTGTGGTTTGACTTGACAGAACTAGCCCCCAGTGCCAGCCTCTGCCAGCTGATGCTGTGGCTAAGCCCAAACAACCCTCACCCACTCTAATTTTGTTTGTACCAGTTGGGATAATCTGCCCAGCCTGGCTTTTCCCTGATCTAGTCCACATGAGGCATACAGGCATTGTAGCCCTGCTTAGTCTGATCTGCCCCCATCCCAGCTCACACTCTCCAGCGGGAGTAGCTGTTCAGCAAAGGAACCCTCCCTTATTCCCCTGCCAGCTTTGCCCCCTCCCTTCCGTTCTCACACTTGCTGGCTGGGCACTGCAGTCACATCCAGTACAGACAACCTCACCTTAGCATTCTGTATCCTGCACTAGTTTTTGTTGCAACTGAACCTGGCTCAACCCACACTGTTCTGGTTCCTGGATTTGCCAGTAGATGATGTGGACGGATTCAGTCTGGTCTTCCCTCGACCCCTGCCAATTGTATGTCAATGGGTAACTTTCCATGGCCTGTTCTGGGCTGTTTTCTACCATGTTTCTTGCGCTTACCTGTCGGATCTGTGTCCTGCCAGAGGAGTTGCCCAGGCTCCTCCATCAGAACCTCTCCCAGTGCCAGATTTCACGCATACCAGTGGGTCCATGAGCCAGCCCTACTCAGTTCACCTCCTGTCTTAGCAGGAACAGTGGCTTTTCCTGAATGGCCTTCAACCCAAGCTGGTTCTTGCTGTTGGATGTTTCAGCCCAGCCATGGTTTGTCCATACCCACATACAGCTCACACATGGCTCAGTAGGGGTTGAGACCTTGCCTAGTCCATCCCACATCTACCCTGGTCCTCCAGGACACCAGAGGGTGTTGGAGTCTGGCCCGGCTCGGTGTATCCAATCTCAGTCCACATTTGTGCCAAGGGAGACTACAACCGTGTCCCGTTCAGAACACAGCCCCTATTCCAGCCCACACACCCTTTGGTGGGAGCCTCAATCCAGCTAAGGTATCCTCTTAGCTCCCCAACTGGGCCTGTTGCCAGCCATAGATCACATGCATGCCAGTGGTTGCTCTGACTCAGCTTGGTTCAGTCCCTCACTTGTCCCTACCTCTGCCTTAGACACTGTGGCTTAGTGTTCCTGGCTTGTGCAGACCAGTAGGTACAACAGCCTAGCTCGGCATGACCTGTGCTCCCTCCTGGTCTCTAGTTTTGCTTGTGGGCTAAGGTTTATTCAGTCCTGCCCAGTCCACCCTGTTCCATTACCAATTGGCACCTTAGTCAGCTGTTGGAGCTAATTTGCCCAGCTTGTCCGACCCCCAGGTCTGTACTACATGTTCACCAGTGGGAGCTATGATTAGTCAAGGGAGTTTCCCAAGTTCATCCACTTAATCCACTCCCAGACCCAGTTTTCATACATGCCATTGGGTTTAGGCCAGGTTCCAGCACAGTCTGTTGCCCCCAAACAGCTTAAGCACATGCTGGTGGTTGCGATTGCTGGGTCAGTTCTGTCTCCAACCCTGACTTTTATACAAA